AAATAGAACACATGATAAAAGTTACATTTTAAACTATGAATTTTACGGAGTTTAAGCACTAGTGACATAATTTTATCATTTTTCTTTAACTTACAAATGAATTGAAAATCGAATATATAAACGTATGATAAACAAACACTAAAACAACGCTAAATAAACACTAAATGAACGCTAAACAAACATGTTCGTGAACACGTTCGTGAACATATAAATGGACACATTCAAGAGCATTAAACGAACGCTAAACGAACATGTTCATGAACACGTTCGTGAACACATAAACGAACATGTTCGTGAATAATAAATAAATGAACATGAACACCTTCAAAAATAAATAAACGAAAACGAACACTATATGGAAAATTTAAAAGAACACAAACCGAACACAAACACCATAAAATAAATAATTAAACATGAACATAACCTTGCTCGTCCAAGCTCAGTTCATTTACAGCCCTAATTAAGCACTCTACATTGAGAAAATGTTAAAGAAATTTGACAGTTTTGACGTCATCCCTATGTGAACTCCTTATGACCCTATCATAAATCTTTTTAAAAATAAAGGAAGTCTTCGACGCATGTTTTCGCCACGTCGTTTTAATAATATTATTATTATTATTATATTTATTATTATTATTATTATTTTAAGGTTACAAACCTAGAGCCCATAACACTCAAGGCCCAGAAGCAACCCGAGCCTAGCTACCAAGCAACCAATCAGCTCAATACTCGAAGCCCAAACTCGAGCCTACTTATAACCCTAATCAGTAAGGGTTTCTAAACCCTAGCCATGGTTATTTCCGCTGCTTCTTCGATGACTCATGCAAAACTCGTGATCTCTGACATCATCATCTCTCTACTAAGATTCACATAATCAACACGTGATGTGATCGTAACTACACAAATGGATCCTAAAGTCATGCCTAAAGGACCTATCACTCGTGCAAGGGCAAAACAATTCAGGAGGGTACTTTCTCATAAGTGCATTAATGATTTTACATCTTTTAATGAGAAAGAACCATTTGACAATAGGTTGTTTAATATGTTACATATTGAATATTAAATAACCTATTGTATACATCTTTATCTTATACACATTATATAGTTCATATACTTAACTAAATTCTTTATGTTATGCGTGAAGGTATATTCGACCACAACTTGGGAGCTATATTGGAGCTAAATGGAGAAAGAAATGGCAAGGAAACTTACATGGGGACAGTTAGGAAAGAATAAGGAACAATTGGTGAGAAGTTGTCCGGAGACCCATGAGCTCATAGTTGGATTGAACTAATGATTTGAGCTACAAGTTGACTTAAATTTAGCTTGGGAGCTGCACCATCATCATCACCACTTAGGACACTTCAAATATGTCCTAAGTCAAATTTTATGAAATCGTACTTTTTCACGAATAGTTGCCACCTCAAGAGGTACCTTTTCACAACGAGATACCATAATGTTCACCATGCTACAACTCACCTATGGCCAGCTCACCTTCAGCTCATTCACCTAAGAACTAGCTCAAACATGAAAGGTTACCTTTCCAAAAGTTGTAACCTTTCATGAATGATGCTACCCAAGAAGATGCCCTTTCATGAAAGATCACGTTGGTGAAGAGAATACACCCATTGGAGGCCTAAATCACCAAGGGACATGAGACAAAGCTCTATGCCTATTTGACCACACCCACATGCCTTGCAAAAGACAAATTTGGCACCAATTTGAGGAGGCACATAGTTATTCGGCCAAGGGAGATGTCTTTGGCGCCAAGATGAACAAGCATGTAGCATTCGGCCAAGGGAGATGTTTCCTCATAAGTTTATAGACTGAAAAAAGTCACTTTATGGTTGGAACCAAGATCCTAAACACTGGTATGAGAAATTTCACAAAACTATCATAAGTTTTGGTTTTGTTGTGAATGATTTGGATGCATGTGTGTATTCGATAATGTTTGGTACTGATTTCATCATCATAAGTTTATATGTTAATGACATGTTGATTTTCAGTACTAACATTGAGTCCATTAACAAACAAAGAATTTCTTATCTACTAAATTTGGGATAACCGATTTGGGATAAGCCAATGTGATCTTAGGGGTCAAAGTTATCAAAACTGAAAAGGGTTTTTCTTTAAATCATACATCGAGGTGTAAATTAACATAGCATTCGGTGAACTGTTAGTGAATCATTCGCATAACGTTCATTTATGTTCATTTGTTAAGTTAAATAAACAAAATTGAACAAAATTTTTTATGTTTATTTAATAAATGAACAAACACGAATAGAGGTGTGTTCGATTCAATTATGTTCACGAACAAGCTTGTTTATGAGCTCGTTTATAATATCCTTTATGAGCTTGTTTATAAGCTCATTTATCAAATTATTCATTTATGTTAATGAACAAACTCGTTTACCCAAATTTTCCTTTCCTTTTATTTTTTCACATTTTAAATATTGAAGATAAGGATTAAATAGAACACATGATAAAAGTTATATATTAAACTATGAATTTTTACGGAGTTTAAGAACTAGTGACATAATTTTATCATTTTTCTTTAACTTATAAATGAATTGAAAATCGAATATATAAACGTATGATAACCAAACACTAAAACAACGCTAAATGAACGCTAAACAAACATGTAAATGAACACGTTCATGAACATATAAATGAACACATTCAAGAGCATTAAACGAACGCTAAGCGAACATGTTCATGAATACATTCGTGAACACATAAACGAACATGTTCGCGAATAATAAATAAACGAACATGAATACCTTCAAAATTAAATAAACGAAAATGAACACTATATGGAAAATTTAAAAGAACACGAACCGAACAAAAACACCATAAAAATAAATAAATAAACATGAACATAACCTTGCTCGTCCAAGCTCAGTTCGTTTACACCCCTAATCAAGCACTCTACATTGAGAAAATGTTAAAGAAATTTGACAGTTTTGACGTCATCCCTATGTTAACTCCTTATGACCCTATCATAAATCTTTTTAAAAATAAAGGAAGTCTTCGACGCACGTTTTCGCCACGATGTTTTTAATAATAATATTATTATTATATTTATTATTATTTTTGTTTTAAGGTTACAAACCTAGAGCCCATAACACCCAAGGCCCAGAAGCAACCCGAGGCTAGCTACCAAGCAACCAATCAGCTCAATACTCGAAGCCCAAACTCGAGCCTACTTATAACCCTAATCAGTAAGGGTTTATAAACCCTAGCCATGGTTATTGCCGCTGCTTCTTCGGTGACTCATGCCAAACTCGTGATCTCTGACATCATCATCTCTCTACTAAGATTCACATAATCAACACGTGATGTTATCGTAACTACACAAATAGATCCTGAAGGCATGCCTAAAGGACTTAGCACTTGTGCAAGGGAAAAACAATTCAGGAAGGTACTTTCTCATAAGTGCATTAATGATTTTACATCTTTTAATGAGAAAGAACCATTTGAAAATAGGTTGTTTAAAATGTTACATATTGAATATTAAATAACCTATTGTATACATCTTTATCTTATACACATTATATAGTTCATATACTTAACTTAATTCTTTATGTTATGTGTAAAGGTATATTCGACCACAACTTGGGAGCTATATTGGAGCTAAATAGAGAAAAAAATGGCAAGGAAACTTACATGGGGACGGTTAGGAAAGCATAAGGAACAATTGGTGAGAAGTTGTCCGGAGACCCATGAGCTCATAGTTGGATTGAGCTGAAGATTTGAGCTACAAGATGACTTAAATTTAGCTGGGGAGTTGCACCATCATCATCACCACTTAGGACAATTCAAACATGTCCTAAGCCAAATTTTGTGAAATCGTACTTTTTCACGAATAGTTGCCACCTCAAGAGGTACCTTTTCTCAACGAGCTACCATAATGTTCACCATACTACAACTCACCTATGGCTAGCTCACCTTCAGCTCATTCACCTAAGAACTAGCTCAAACATGAAAGGTTACCTTTCCAAACGTTGTAACCTTTTATGATTGATGCTACCCATGAAGATGCCCTTTCATGAAAGATCACGTTGGTGAAGAGATTACACCCATTGGAGGCCTAAATCACCAAGGGACATAAGACAAATCTCTATGCCTATTCGACCACACCCACATGCCTTGCAAAAGATAAATTTGGCGCCAATTTGAGGAGGCACATAGTCATTCGGCCAAGGCAGATGTCTTTGGCGCCAAGATGAACAAGCATGTAGCATTCGGCCAAGGGAGATGTTTCCTCATAAGTTTATAGACTGAAAAAGTCACTTTATGGTTGGAACCAAGATCCTAAACACTGGTATGAGAAATTTCACAAAACTATCATAAGTTTTGGTTTTGTTGTGAATGATTTGGATGCATGTGTGTATTCGATAATGTTTGGTACTGATTTCATCATCATAAGTTTATATGTTAATGACATGTTGATTTTCAGTACTAACATTGAGTCCATTAACAAACAAAGAATTTCTTATCTACTAAATTTGGGATAACCGATTTGGGATAAGCCAATGTGATCTTAGGGGTCAAAGTTATCAAATCTGAAAAGGGTTTCCCTTTAAATCATACATCGGGGTATAAATCAACATATTATTCGGTGAATTGTTAATGAATCATTCGTATAACGTTTATTTATGTTCATTTGTTAAGTTAAATAAAGAAAATTGAACAAATTTTTTTATGTTTATTTAATAAATGAACGAACACGAATAGAGGTGTGTTCGATTCAATTATGTTCACGAACAAGCTTGTTTATGAGCTCGTTTATAATATCCTTTATGAGCTTGTTTATAAGCTCATTTATCAAATTATTCATTTATGTCACATGATAAAGTTACATTTTAATATGAATTTTACGGAGTTCAATCACTAGTGACATAATTTTATCATTTTTCTTTAACTTACAAATGAATTGAAAATCGAGTATATAAACGTATGATAAACAAACACTAAAACAACGCTAAATGAACACTAAATGAACATTAAACAAACATGTTCATGAACACGTCCGTGAACATATAAATGAACACATTCAGGAGCATTAAACGAACGCGAAACAAACATGTTCATGAACAGGTTCGTGAACACATAAATGAACACGTTCGCGAATAATAAATAAACGAACATAAACACCTTCAAAAATAAATAAACGAAAATGAACACTATATGGAAAATTTAAAAGAACACAAACTAAATACAAACATCATAAAAATAAATAAATAAACATGAATATAACTTTGCTCGTCCAAGCTCGGTTCCTTTACACCCCTAATCAAGCACTCTACATTGAGAAAATGTTAAAGAAATTTGTCAGTTTTGATGTCATCCCTATATGAACTCGTTATGACCCTATCATACATCTTTTTTAAAATAAAGGAAGTTTTCGACACACGTTTTTGCCACGACATTTTTAATATTATTATTATTATTATATTTATTATTATTATTGTTTTAAGGTTACAAACCTAGAACCCATAACACCCAAGGCCCATAAGCAACCCGAGCCTAGCTACCAAGCAATTAATCAGCTCAATACTCGAAGCCCAAACTCGAGCCCAATTATAACCCTAATCAGTAAGGGTTTCTAAACCCTAGCCACAGTTATCGTCACTACTTCTTCGGTGACTCACGCCAAACTCGTGATTTCTGACATCATAATCTCTCTACTAAGATTCACATAATCAATACATGTTGTGATCGTAACTACACAAATGGATCCTAAAGTCATGCCTAGAGGACCTATCACTCGTGCAAGGGAAAAACAATTCAGGAAGGTACTTTCTCATAAGTGCATTCATGCTTTTACATCTTTTAATGAGAAAGAACCATTTGACAATAGGTTGTTTAATATGTTACATATAGAATATTAAATAACCTATTGTATACAACTTTATCTTATACACATTATATAGTTCATATACTTAACTTAATTCTTTATGTTATGTGTGAAGGTATATTCGACCACAACTTGGGAGCTATATTGGAGCAAGTATACTTCTTATACTTGTGGCGTCATTCCTTTGACCTTGATTCCTAAATTGTTAGTTTTATATATAGTGGGTTGAAGACACTTTCATCGCCCCTTAAGAAAGTTTCTGAAGATTAGGATTGTGCTTCCTAGCATAGTTTCATCTTTGGGGTGTTTGAGATACAACATCGCCACCATCTCCATTTCAACATCAACACCATCAACCTCTTCCATCAAGGCCATCAACAACTTCATAATTCCTTAACCAACTCTATTCATCTCTTTTATTTTATTAATTATCTTAATTATCCATTTCTTATTCCATTACTAATCCAATTTCATTTCTTATCCTTGTTGCAGCCAAACTTATAACTCAAGGATATCATTACATGTCAATCTTGGATCGGGACATAATAAGGCTATCTACTCACTTCCATTAAAGAGTGTAGATTCAGCCTACATCAAGCGTGTTCAAAGCATAGTTGGATTGCCAACAAAAGTGTCATTGGCATGCAAAGATAAAAATAAAATAAAAAGAAGTTCAAAAGGAAAAGCAAACTCCTACAACAACAAAAGGAGTTCAAAATAAAAAGAAAAAGAAGAAAAAGAATTCCAGTAAAAAAGAAAAGCAAAACCATGGAAAAGTGCTATATCATTACAAGTACATCAAGGAGGCATATCTACACTAGAGAAGATAACCTTATTGTTTCTTGTGAAAGGGTGTAGAAAGTGTTGTTTCTTGGGTTGTAAGTCACCTTTTCTTTTCTATACTTCAATTTTCCTTATCTTCAACCTTTTCATTCTTTTTCATTACCATTTGAATCCTTTCTTCTACATTTCCATTTATTTTTTTCTTTTTTACCCTACCCTATTTCCAGCTGATGCACACAAGAATAAAAATAACTTGTTCTTATATTGAGTAAGTTCTTCAAAGGATTTAGCAAGAGAGATCGAGTGGAAAAAGGCTAATTGAGTGAGTGATATCAAAAGGGGAATTGTTAAAAGCCAAATTATATTTTCGAGAGTAAACACGGGTGATTGAGTGGAGTGATCATAACTTTTCTTTGAAGTGAAACTTGTGAGGCTTTGTGAGTGTGCAGGTAAGGTTTACTTTTGTTTTATTTGTTTACTAACAATGTCTCAAGTTTCATGACAAGTTTTGGAATTAAAAAGAGCCTTGAATATTCAATCCATGGAGGATAATCAAAGAGAGAACATTTTTAATACTCGTTGTCATGTAAATAACAAAGTTTATTTCATGATAATCGACGGAGAAAGTTGTACCAATGTTGCAAGCACTTTAATGGTGGCTAAACTCGGACTCAAGACAATTAAACTCCCTACACCATACAAGTTACAATGGCTAAATGATGGGGGAGAAGTTAAGGTCACCAAACTAGTGAACATTTCCTTTTCGATTGGAAAATACCAAGACCAAGTCCTTTGTGATTTGTTGACTCCACTTTTCGATTGGAAAATACCAAGACCAAGTCCTTTGTGATGTTGTTCCAATGAATGTTTTCCATATACTCCTCGGATGGCATTGGAAATTTGATAAGAAAGCTATCCATGATGGTTTCACAAACCGATATTCTTTCTATCATAATGAAAAGAAATTCATCTTGACTCCACTTTCACCAAACCAAGTATCGGAAGATCAAGAAGCTTTGAAAAAGAGCATTGAAGCATTCAAATCCATTAAAGAGGAGGAACCAACAAAGATGAATATATATGCAGTAGGGGAAGACATTAGGAAATATTTGTTATCCTACAAAGTTCTAATTGTACTTAGGTACAAGGAAAGCTTCCTTTTGACTAATATTCTAAAAGGCTTGCCTTATTCTATTTGGTCTTTATTGTAGGAATTCGAAGACTTGTTCCAAGAAGACATTCCTAGTGAACAACCACCTATTAGAGGAATAGAGCTTCAAATTTATTTCATTTTCAGTACAACCATTCCAAACCAACCAACATATAGAAGCAACCCTAAAGAGACTAAAGACCTTCAAAGACAAGTTAAAGAATTGATGAACAAAAGATACATACGAGAAAGCTTAAGTCTATGTGTTGTTATGTGTTACTTGTACCCAAAAAGGATGGTTCATAGAGAATGTGTGTATATTGTCGTGCTATCAATCAAATTACCATAGAGTACAGACATCCTATATTAAGACTTTATGATATGTTGGATAAATTGAGTGGAGCCACTATGTTCTCCAAAATTGATCTAAATAGTGGAAACCATCAAATCAGAATGCGAGAAGGAGATGAATGGAATACCGCATTCAAAACAAAGCAAGGCTTGTACAAATGGATGGTGATGCCTTTCAGTTGAACCAATGCTCCAAGCACCTTCATGAGATTAATGAATCATGTACTCCAACCATTCATCGATAAGTTTTGTGTGGCTTATTTTGATGATATTCTGATTTATAGCCATGACTTGGAAACACATGTGCAACATTTGAGGTATGTGCTTGAAACCCTTTAAAAGTAAAAACTCTATGCAAATATGAAGAAATGTGTCTTTTGCACTAACAGTTTATCATTTTTAGGCTTTATAGTAAGTTCTCAGAGACTAGAAGTTAACCCTGAAAAGATTAAAGCCATTCAAGATTGGCTAACGCCCACTTCAATTAGTCAAGTCAGAAGTTTTCATGGTCTTTTAAGCTTTTACAGAAGGTTTGTACCTAATTTCAGTTCTATTTTCACCCCCTTAACAGGGATCATTAAAACGAATTCTATATTTTCATGGGGCAAAGAAGAAGAAGATGCCTTCAATAAAATGAAGGGATGTTTAACAAAGGCACCTTTACTTGCACTACCTAATTTTGATAAGACTTTTGAAGTGGAATATGATGCTTATGGAATCAAATTTTGGGCTGTTTTGACTCAAAAAGGATGACCATTGCATACTTTAGTGAAACATTGAATGGTGCCTTGCTAAACTATCCAAATTATGACAAAGAGATGTATTCTCTCATAAGGGTACTTGAAGTTTAGCAGCATTATCTCTTACCAAAGGAATTCGTCATACATACTGATCATGAAGCCTTAAAACATATCAAAGGCCAATACAAGTTGAACAATTGTCATGAAAAATGGGTAGAGTTTTTTTAGTCATTTTCCTACGTTATTCATTACAAGAAAGGTAAAGACAACATTATAGTGGATGATCTCTCCAGAAGGTATGTACTCCTTAGCGCACTTGAGTCAAAGTTAATTGGTTTTTCATATATTAAAGATTGGTATGCTACTGACCATGACTTTGAAGAAAAGTATAAGGCTTGTGAAAAAGGTACACATGAAACGTTTATAGGCACGAAGGGTATCTATTCAAAGAAGGGCTTCTATGCATTCCTCAAGGGTCCCTAGGAGAAGTACTTGTTCGAGAAGCACATGAAGGAGGTCTCATGGGTCATTTAGGAGTAAGCAAAATTTAAAACAACACGTCTATTGGCCTGAAATGAAGAGGGACGTTGAAAGGGTGTGTGAAAGATATGTCACTTACAGAAAGGCTAAATCAAAAGTTATGCCTCGTGAACTTTATATACCTTTACCTATTCCCCAAGTGCCATGGGTTGAAATATCAATGGACTTTGTGATTGGACTACCAAGGACAAAGAATTGGCGAGATTCAATATTTGTTGTAGTTGATCGCTTTTCCAAAATGGCACATTTAATACTATGCCACAAGACCGACGATGCAACACATATGGCAAACTTGTCCTCCAAAAAAATTGTGAGATTACATGGCGTTCCAAGAACCATAGTCTCTGATAGAGATGCCAAATTTTTTAGTCATTTCTGGAGGACATTATAGAGTAAGATTGGGACAAAATTGCTATTATCCACAACATATCACCCTCAAACAGATTGGCAAACTGAAGTGGTGAACTGAGTGTTATCAACCTTGTTGAGATCTGTCATCAAGAAGAACATCAAAGCGTGGGAGGAGTGCTTACCACACATTGAGTTTGCATATAATAAAATTGTCCATTCAACGACCAAGATGTCACCATTTGAGGTAGTGTATGGATATAATCCTTTAACACCTTAAGATCTTCTTCATTTTCCTCAGGAACACACAGTCAACAAAGATGGGAAGAACGAGGATGAGTTCATTAAGAAGCTTCATCAACAAGTTTGAGGCAACATAGAAAAACGAACAAGGTAATATGAACAACAAGTAAATTAGGGACGCAAACAACTAAAATTGGAGG